AATATTTAATAACATTTTTCTCTTATTATAATCTAAGAATTGTCAACCCAAATATTTCATTCCAAATGTATTTGTTATCATTTCCAAGTATTTCTGTTATTTTCTGCATCTAAAATTAAAAATATAAACAATTAATAAAACATGTAAATTGTCTAAAAATGTTAAATGTTGAATAATATACTGAATATTACCTGTAAATTATCATCATTGTTTTCGCCAAATATTTTGCACCATTAATTAAGTCACAAACTAAATTACAATTTCAGCACTTGAAAAATTTAAGAAGAAGAACCAAACAGTTGTTCCTGATTTTTTGTTAATATAAATAAAATTAATAAATAAGCACTATAAAAATTAAAAAAAAAACTTTATAGTTTATAAATTTTTGTTATTGAACCGCAAACAAAATAACAAGTTAATAACTGTATGATTAGAAAAAAAATCAACAGTTGTTTATGTTTTAAGTAATAAGTAATATTAAAAGTTTATCATTTTATACATTAAAAAAAAACACTATACAGTTTTGTTTATAACTGATTTGCTATAAACATAACTAAAGTTCCTTCATTTTTTTTTACTCCAGAAAATCTTCCCCATTTGTCAATATCGAGACTTAAAAATTTAGAGTCACGATCTTTAGACTTCGGGGTTATTAAAATAATTTATTTAATTGATTTATTTATTATTACAAATCAATTTATTTTTAATTGAAAATTAAGGTTTGTATCATCCTAATTGAATTTATTAAAAATATTAACTAAATATTGAGAATTTAAAAAAAAATTGAGAAGTTTTGTACAAATATGAAAACAGACAAAATATTTGAACAAAAAAGTAGAGAAGTTATTTGAAATCTAAAAATATTACAAACAAGAAAAAAGGTTTAAAAATTTATAAAACCAATATTATGAATAAAATAAATTATATAACGTATTTAATATTCAGCATTGATAAACTTAATTGCATAATTACAAAACAATAAGTGGTTTTGATTACCAAAAATATTTGGATTTTTAATTTTTATATTTTAAAATTATTGTAATTTTTCATTTTAATATTGAACATCTTTTTAATTGCATAACTGATAAATTAAATTAAATTTAAAAAAATATCCAAAACAATTCAAAACCATGCTCCTGAAACAAATCAATAATAGAAATTTTATTTCAATGATAATCAGACATTTATTTATAAACTAATAAATAAGAGTACAGGAGTATCATCTTAAAATATATTAATATTTATCCAATAGCAGTGACTCAGGAAGAGGAACTTTTTTTAACAAACATTATTTTTAATGTTTAAACTTTTTACTTAAATTACAATTTGTACAACAACTGATCTAAAAAACTCAAGGAAGAAACTGACTAAATATTTCCCTAATTCTTGGCATTTCATTTTTTTTATTTTTTACGATGCGAATGAATTGTTTGTTTAAACAAATGCTAATAACAATTTGGTTTAATAATACAACATAACAATTCGAGATCACAAATAATTCAAAAGAAAATTCGCTTTTTACACAACATAAAAGTTCGATTTTTGGGTTCTATAATTGTTGATAACCTTATAATATAAAAATTAAAATTATAAAAATAATATAAAAATATTGGATTTAGTTATATCATTTATTATATTTGTTAAATAATATTAAGTGAATTAGAAATATGGCATTTTTGCAGATATAGACATGTTCCGCAAATATTTGAAAATGCATCTTATTTAATTTATATTATGAAAACGAATGTTAACTTACTTTAAATTTATTTATTTTATGAAAATTAATTTATATTAAATGTATAAAATAATTTTCTAGCTCTATTTTTCAAATATTTATAATCTCACTATTTTAATAACAAAATGCATTTTGACCGTTTATAAAAATCAAATATTAAATAATATTTTTTAATTAAAACCAATTCTCTAGCCTTATTTTTTTTAATAAAGTTTTTCAAATAAAACATTTGTAATAAATTACTTTTTAATGAGAATTTTTCAAACAATTTCTTGTAATTTAATTTATGCCATACTTTCACAATTTTTATTAGAATATTTAAAAAAAAATAAGTAGATTTATTTGAAGATTTATCAACAAATTATAGTTTCCAAAAATCGTAAAAATATTCCTTCATCACAAAATGACACGTTTTTATACTAATATGGAAGATTATTATATTTTTTGGACACTGATGGTATTAATATAATATGCCAACTCTTAAAAAATATTACAATTTTTTTTTTTAAATTAACAGATAAAATAAATGTCGATTTTGTAATATAAATTTAGTTTTAATAAATTTTTTTAGTCCAGTATAAATAGTTATTATATTAGGTAATATAAAATGTTGATTTAAATTTGATAAATTTATTTATTCCACCGCAAATAGTTCCTTCTCTAAAATGTAAAATTAAAAGGATAAATAAATTTATACAACTTTTTTAAATATGAAACTTTTTGAGACATATTAAAATCGAAACCAAATAATTAACGACATAATTTTATAAATAGTATAAATTTAATTTAATAATTTAACAAACTTTAAAATTTAATTTTTTGTTCATAGTTTCAAATTGCATTTATAAAAAATATATTTTCTGCACTTGTATATTACAAAAAAAAAATAATAACCCAGATAATATATAATAAAAATTTAGACTAGAAATTAGGTTTCTGAAGTTAATATTTTTTTTAATTAGCAAATTATTATTATTACCATCAGTATCCACTTACATTTTAATAAATCCTAATTCCTATTTTTTCCAGTAATTTATCGTAAAAATTACTTA